GCGCGCCAAGGTCACCAGAATAGGCGAGACCACTTCCACCTTTACTCTCCCCAGATCCTTCCCTTTCTGAGATCCCCAGGGTCGCGCCCCTCGCCACCGTTGGGGTTCTCCTCTGGCACCCCCTCACTCCACCGGGATCCTGCCCTGCCTTCACCCTCCCGGTCCTTGCCCCTCGCATAACTCTCACTTTCTCTCCCTGGTGAGGCTCCCTGGTAAGTCTGCCCTCGGCAGCCTCAGGGAACCAGAGAGGACGCGAGCCTCCCACTCGTTCAGGGGAGCGGCGAGGAAACCGACGCAAACTTCTACTGCACTTACTTCGGGCCGAGGCTGCCGCCCCCTCGCTCTCCAGGCTCTCCCACGGGCAGCTGCTCCGCGGCGACCTGGAGCCACCAAGCTCGCATTCCCCTCAGCAGCGCAGCTGTGAAATGCGCAAACCCGGGTCTCCGGAGGCAAGTGCGCCCGGGGCCAGCGTCCTCGGGCCGAGGGCCAGCCGCTGCGCGCGGTGGCGAGCTGAGCGGTAGCCACCTCCGGCGGCCCGGGGATGCTGCGCCCGGCGCCTCCGCCGGGTCGTCTCTGTCCGAGTTGCAGTTTCAGTGCCCGCCAGGACTGCAGCACCCCCTCCGTCCTCCCCCGGCAACGACTTTCAGTTCACCTGGAGGCTTGCGTGGCTCCCCCGCGGGCCGGCAGCGTGACAGCGGGTGCAGAGAAGAGGGAGGAGCGCGCGAGCGGCAGCTGCCCCAGGGCGCCTCCAGCTTTCTAGGCGCGGAGCGCGCAGCCCTCTCCAGCCCGCTCTCCTCGGGACTGCAGTCCTGACGTCACCCCACCCCCCACCCGGCGGAGAAGCGGTGAGGAGGGTGGGGTGCTGGGAGCGCGAACGCGGGAGTGTGAACTGGAGTGTGAGCGCGTGCGCGCGTGTGCCTCGCGAGGCTGGGGACCGGCTGGAACCGCAGCTGGATCCTGCGACGAGCCAGAAATCGAGCTCCCGGAAAACCGGCGCCGTGGGGCTGCGGTGAACAGCCGGGGGCGCTCGCTTCCAGGCTGGGGCGGGGATACTACGGACAGCGACTTTCTTAGCGGCCGAAGGAAATGGCTTAACGCGGTAGGGGCGGTGGGAAAGCAGGAGTTGGGCACTCTCTTTCCCCAAAGTTGGGGGATGCATTCGATGCCTTTAAAATCTGCGCTGGAGATTTAGGAGGAAGAGAGGACTTAGGATTTAGGAGGAAGAGAGGATTTAGGAGGAAGACTTAAGAGGACTGTGCCGGAGAGTTGATTTTCACGTCCTGGTCGGAAGGAGAAGGAATGGGGATAGGGAGCAGCCTTCGGGGTTCTTGGCTTTCACTCCCGCCGCAAGGTCCCGGCGTGGGGTGGGGGTGGGGGAGTCCGCTTTGGTGCGACAAAGGAGCCTATTTAAGGGCGGACACCAGCCCTCTGCTACTGTGTACTGCGAAGTTGCTGCAAAGGGACCAAAGGGGCCGGGCCTACCCCACCTAACCCCCGCCCTGCGTCAACCTAGGGGAGTTTCCGCCAGAAGCTGGGCAAAGGCACCCGGAACCAGATGCGCGATACCGTGCCCAAGGGTTCTGCGTCTGAGGCCGCGGAAGTTAGCCCTGCCAGCAGAGTTCCTTGATATCATCCAGCCGAGGCTGCAGTGTGTCTTTGCTACTCTCCAGGACCTTACTCTTGAAAAGGACTTGAGTAGCCACCCAACTTTCCTCGTTCTCTGAAGTTGTCCTGGGAACCCAAAACAGAAGGGCCTTTCGGCGGAGGCACCAAATAAAGGGTGTTTAAGAGGTTTAGGGTGGCTCATGGCTGATCCTGGACCTATTGTCCCTTAGCAACGACCCTTTTGTCATCTCTGGGGATGGATGCGTGACTCCGTGCGCCCGCAGTGCTCTGCATCCTTAAGCTGCACCCAGTCGGGAGCCTCTCGCCGCCTCCCGGCTGTAGGAAAATGTGCAATGCGCTCTGCTTGGGCTGGATCCGCTGGCAGCAGAGAGGCGTCAGGCGCGCAGTGCAGTGACTGCCAGAGCAGACAGCAATTTTGCCCGGGTTGAGTGGCAGTGGTTTTTAATTGCAAGAGTCTCCCTTCCTGAATCGAGAACACTGATCACCGAGATACCTCTTATTCATTAAACTATTTGTTTAAAATAGAAAGTGTGATTGGAGAGAAGCAGGAAGTAAATGGAATGGGAGGGAGAAAAAGATACCCTGCCCACAAACACGCTTTAACTTCAACTTCTTAAAGTTACTAAAAAGTAGGATCAAACCATGGTTGAAGCAGCAGAAAGCTGAACCGCAGTCTTGATTCTCAAATGGAAACTTAACAAAATAGAGGCAAGTTTGGGATCCAGGTCTGTCTCCTGCCTCAGGTTTAATAATCTTAGGAATTCCTGCATGAAAATTAGAATTCCAGCTAATTAGGCAGTGTTATGGGTATCCTTAACTATGGTTGGATTTAACAAATAGATAGAAAAATTAAACTAAGTAGAGATACGGAATGTTCCTAATTAGAACAAAGAACAAGGGAATTTCAGAGAAGAACATAGGGTATCAACTTCCAGGTCCTCTAGCAACCGTCCTATTTTTTAATATATAAATTTGAAAACACCCTGTCATCATCAAGAAATTATATAACTAGATCCTAGTTATGTATGTTTCAGAAAGAACAGTTCCTCAATAGGAATCACTGTTCCTGAAAAGTTTAATTCTGATGAATAGTATGGTAATAAGCAAGCCATTGACAAAGGTACGGTGTTAAGATTGTGTAGTGGCAGTTATGCTAGTACATTTGAACCTTCTAAGTTGGATCACAATTTTGCTTCCAGTGTTCAATGCCAAGCGCTAGTTAGTGGTGCTATATTAGCAGGTACAATAGCCTGGCTAGCACAGCCACATAAGTAATGCTCTATTGCCCACAGAGGAGTCACCAGTGACAAGAATTAGCCACCGAGGCTCATGTGGTAGGCCCAAGCACCCCTTTCTTGATTTCCTATTGTACTGTGTTCACACTTCCAGGATAACTTTTTCACAATCTACTGTGATTGGTTGTTTAGATTGGTCATCTGCCTTCTAAATGTATAATCTTTCCCAGGGCAGGAATTTCATTTTACTTTCCCCAGGACCCAGCAGAGTGCCTGGAAAATAAAATAATAACTATATGTTGACTGGATTAATTGTTTTTAAAGAGTATAAAATAACTACATTTTAAAATCTGTTTTAGACTGACTCATATGCCATCTATGTGAAACAAACTATATATAATTCTGCATGTATATTTATATATGAAATGGAAAGGAGAGGAGAGGAAAAACCAGTTTTTAGAAGGGTAACTGTCAGTGGCTGAGTAGGAGTTTGAATTGTCCATAGAAACATCATTTGCTGCTCTTACGCTATGAGAATTCTTTGCTGTTTGTTAATTGACATTTGCATGTTTAAAAAGTGTGGTGTTGGAAATCAGACCCACTGTTCAAAATGCATTACAAACTATTTCCTATTGCTTAGAATGCAGCATATTATTTAAGTTTGGTACATGCATTTCTGATAAGTTAAGACATACTATTAGCTCAACTTGCTCTAATCAGTGTGAAGATAGCTCACACTGGTCGGGGCACTGCCAGTATGACCCAAAGGCTCCAGGCCAATGATTGTGTGACTGCTGAAGACACATCTATGGCCAGGCAGTTCAGGTATATGGTACATTCCAGGAAGTAGAAGGAAAATTAGCCACACATACAGATCAGTTCATAGCTACCATAGAGCCAGAACATCATGTTTACAAAGAAGGAATAGCTCTTTGGGGAGAGGGATGGGGTGTTCAGAATAGGGTGGGGGGACTATTTTAATATAGCAATGGCTTTTCATAATACACTCCCTAACTATTAAAGCATCTAAACTAAACCTTGTAGCAAATAAATGTTGGCAGAACTACGGAGGCTCATAATTCTGTCCTTCCAGAAGCTCTCCCCTGAGCAAAACAAGCTCCATGATACCCATTTTCTGCAATAAAAAAGGCAAAAATAAGAATGAACGTTATTTCACATAAGACTAATCAGTTAGCATATCAGTTAACATATATATCTTGTATATATTTATAGTATATATAAGTGCATTTATATATGTGAGGGTATATGTATATATACCACTTATAGATTATGGTCAAATGATTTGAATAAGTTTGTCCAATTATGCAGATACATTTTTAAAGTGACACTTTAAAAGAGCCTAAAATAGTTCATAATAAAACATAAATAATTGTAAACACTTGTTTTCAGAACATACTAAATTTAGTATAAAACACTGGAATTTTTCTGTAACTCTTCTCAGGACTTAGATTTTCTCTTAATATTTAATGCCTTATGATATATTAATAGTTTTTTATTTGAACTGCTTGTGTAGTACCCTCTAATTCTGTTAGAATTGACCCCAAAGACAATATCTAAGTGGCCAATTTCTTTTAAGACTTTAAAGTCCTAAACTAATAAATTCAAATTTCAAAAATTCCATAACCAAAATAAGTAGTTGGCATAATATATTTATAGATAGTATCCCAAAATTACTAGTACAGATTTGTAATAATTTTGTGATGAATATTGGATTTGGCTGATGTTATTTTCATTGTATTAAAACATTTTACTTATACATGTGTTCATAAACTTCACCATAGAATTTCAAAAAGGACTTAGACCATTCCCTAGATCTGCTCCCCCCCCCGCCCAATGAATTACAGCATACTCATCCTAAATGACAACAGGGATATTTTTGTCACATTATAAAACCTATTGAGCAATAGTAAAGAGACAGGTTGTCCTTTCCAGTTCAGATATTGGAGAGGGTTTCCTCAAATGGTAGGTTTTAGGGATTTTTATAAGGGGTGAACCTATATGTAGATTTGCTTATATGCAAAAACAATGCTGCTAGTTACAGTTTTTATTTTTCCCATCACTGGTACAAAGTCAAGGAATGTCCTAGCCAAGATAATGTATTTAGAAGGTCAAGTTTCTATCAGACTTGGTTTCTGGCCTCAAAGAATCTATAAACTGGTATCCTTCTTTCTTTTCCTGCTTTCCTTGTGAACGCCCTATGAATTATGCTTTGGGACCTAGGGTTTCAGACACCTAGGCCTCGATAAGGATAGTAGAACTAAATTTACGGGAACCAATTAGAATTTCTTAAAAGGCTTCAGGAAGTATTTTGAAGTGGGTTTAGTTTTAATACTTTAATTCTCCCTGAATTGTACAGTGCAACTTCAACCTAAGTCTAAAAGGATATTTGCTTTTATCATTCAGCCCTTCAGAAACACTTATTTCTTTAACCCCATTTTCTGCTTGGTTCCCTCCCACTTTTGCCCAAAGTAGCTGCTTTTCATTTGCATTGTCTAATTCAGACAGTTTAGAACTTAGGCACCTCTGGGCAAAGTCCTTGTCTGCCTACGTGTTTAT